CAGAGACACACTGCGGGGTGGGGGGGAGAGGAAGGATTAGGGTCAAAATAAGGGGGGGTGGAACTGTATGGGGAATAATAACCAAAATGAAAATGCATATGTTGTGCAAAAATGAAAAATGATGTAAGAATTATATAAAATAAAATATATTAATAAAAAAAGAGAAGCTGGGTGAAGGGTCCTAGTCTTCACAACTGCTCTGTGAACTTATTTCAAAATAAAAAACAAACGATTACTGCAACAACCAAAGCAGAGAACAAGGAGGCAACATCACTATCTACCCAATAGTAGCAAGAACCCTAAAGACTCACTAGACCCAGCTTTGGGTGTTGGTGTGAAGAGCTACTGCTGGTGGGAGGGTGATTTGGCAGAATGGGTTGCAATTTCATTGTACCTGCCCTGGGCCCAGGAATTCCACTGCTTGGTATTTACACACCAAAATGCTTGCAGTCCTATTCAGAGAGGTATGTCCATGAGCGTTCGCCCAAGCCCTGTTAAGTTATAACCAGGAACACCCTCCATGCCCAACCAGGAGAAATGGACCAACAGAGGAGGGGTTGAAAGACACAGTGCATCTAACCAGGAATATCGTGCAGCGGGGGAAAAGGATGCAATACATTCACAGGACCTAAAATAAAAAGGTTTCCAAAGCAAATACCTAGATGCAAAACAATATATACGGTGTGAGCTCATTGATCCAAAGGGAAAGTGCAAGTAAAGGCACACATTTCCTAATGTGTGTATCGGGATGTATAAGCCGATCCCCAGATCAGGAAAATACCCTCCTGTTTAGTCAACTGGCCAAAGTTCCTTCTGGAAAGGGCAGAGGCATGAAATTGGAGCAGGCAGGCTGGGTGGGGTGGTGCCAAAGGGGACTTGGCTTTTTGTGTTCTTTGTATTTTTAACAATAAGGCTATTTTGTATTACTTGTGCCATTTATTTAAGTGATTTTTTAAAAATAGGTGCTAACCTTTTCTGACCTCCTGTTTCCTTGTCTTAAAATAGAGGAGCTAGTCATACAATGGTCTGTTTCAATTATACCTCAGTTTTTTAACTAAATAAATAAAGGAGTGGGTTAGGACCTCTCCAGGCTACTTCCTGGGTGTCTGGATGTCCCGAATGTCTTTAGCTTAAAGCTGAGGCCCCGTCCCCACTCTGCCCCCTACTTTCCTCCAGTCCCCCCACTTCCAGCTCATTCCTGACATAGAGACTGGCTGGCAGGTATCCCCATATCTTCATGGAGCTGCGCCTTCTTGTCATTTCCAGCAAAACTGAATGGTCACCTCCTCCCCGCCACCTAAGGTAACAATCAGGGAGGAAGGAGAGGCAGGGCCAGATCACGCAGGGCCTGGAAAATGGGGCAAGTTAGGGCTTCAGGCACAGGCGGTCAGGAAGCCTCAGAAGGCTTTAGATGCTGATGGGGGGCGGAGTCAGGGGTGAAGAGCTGGGGGGAAGGGGTGGCTTAAGGCTGCCCACCATCCAAGGCACTGGCTTCAGAGAATGGATCCAAGTCTTGGTAAAACAGAACAAAAGGTAGAATTTCTCTTTAAGCAATTGGCGGGTGGGTCACCCCACGTAAATAGCTGGAAGGGAACTGAAGGATCAGAGTGAATTTATTTCAAGTGCATTTCCTATTCAAGCTTATTAGCGCCAGTTTTTCCATCCCCTCCATTCCCTTAAGGAAGACAGCTCCTCTTCTGGCCTCTTCTCAGGTCCTGGCACCGAGATCCACATTTGTTCTGCAAACTGTCTCTTGACACGATGGTCCATCAGCCTTTTTCCCTTTTTGCCTCTATTTCCTTCTCTCATCTCTGTTTGCCACCCATTTTCTTTTCCCCAATTTTCCCAAGATGGTGGCCTCTCTCCCCTCATCTCTCTTCCCTGGCTTAGTCACCACCCTCTGATAAATTCTCTTCCAGGCATTTTCTGCTGGTCCCCCTGCCCTTCCCGTGTGGCCTTGGCCTGGTGGCATCTTCCATTGCGCTGGCTCCAGTTGCCTTTCCAGGGCTGGATTCCCAGGCTGACCACCCAGAAAAGGCTTCAGGACTTCCTCCTTCCCCTCAGGTCCAGCCTCACAGGCTGTAAATGATTAATAGTAACTGACTTGGGTTGAGAAGGGAGTTGTGGCCTCAACACCAGCTGCAGCCAGGAGGGCTCACATGCCAGCCAGCCTCCCCTTCCTCTTGTTTCTGGACTTGCTCCACGAGACCCCTGGCCACCAGGGAGGAGGGGGAACCCATTCCTCTGATTGGAAAGGGTTAAGGGTCAGCCCAGCTTGGATCCCAAGCCCACTGGCATGATCAGAGGTTGGGCACCAGCATAGCGGACCCCAATCTGAACCACATGATTCCTAGGACAAAGGAGCATTTCTCCTGAAGAAAATGACAGCATGTCCTAGAAAAGGGGAGAGAGTCCCAGGCAGATAAGCAGGGCTGTCCACACTGCTCAAGTTCAGCCTATGGCCTGGCCCTGATGTAGATGAAGACTGAATGGATCCTCAGCCGGCAGGGAAGCCCTTGGGAGGCTGTTCTTGTTGATCTTCTTGGCTGAGCAGATGCCCAGAGGGCACTAGCTCCTCACTCCATCAGGCCTCCACAAGGTGTGCATTTCTGAGGCACCAAAAACGTTGGATCCTGCCAAATGTGACTTTTGTCAGCAACCAGCCCATCTGGAAGAAAGCTAGTGTTAGGTTTATTTAAAATGCCAGGTTGGAAGTGGGAAGGTCAATTGTCTTAAAAAATCCATCACTTGTATACACAGCATGGTCCCAGGCTTCTGTCCAGGATGCTGCTTTGCAAGGAGTCAGATATTTTTAGAGCTAAGAGACACCCTAGAGGTCTTGTGTTCTGACCCCCTCATTTTACAAATGAGGCAACAGGCACAGAGAGGTTGAGCATTTTGTCCAGTTTTACCAGGTTGTCCATATACCATTGGGAATTGGGAAATCCTAAATATTAATCAGCACCAGGATTTCCATTTAATGTTTGCAAACTATGCAAGAAAAGATGTGATAAAAGTATCCTGGCCTTGTAGTGCATGTGACTCTATACCCTGAACCCTGGACAGTCCTCTCAGCCAACGTTACCTCAATTAAAAGAAAAAGTTGAAGCCATAGACTTGTTTTAACTATGTGAATATTTAATCTAATTTTTCTCCTTTGTGCATTCATCTTCACAAAATGCTTTAGCTTTGCATGTCTCTGATCATCAGTGGCCAATGAATCTCAGCTTTCCACTTCTCTCCCATCAGCTCCAGCTCAGCGTTTAGGAACCAGGTAGCAAACATTCGAGGGTATCAGGAGAATTAGGACAGAAGGATTTCTTTGGGAAAGAGCTGGTCCTTCTTCCTGCTTTCTCTCCATTTTTAATTATTTGTTTGTTTGTTTGCTTATTTTTTAAGATTTATTTATTTATTTATACAAGCACTGGGTACAGTCAGAAGCGTGGGAGGGTGAGAGAATTCACCAGAGCTAGAGTGGGGAGCAGAACAGGCAGATCGACCGAAATACACTGCTGAGGGGAGCAGCGGGCGGCAGGAGAGGTCTGTGCGTTATGTGGGACCCTCCCCGGCAGCCTGGGATCGAACCAGCACTGCAGAGGCTGCGGGCAGCCTTGCAGCCCAGCACTCAACCACTGTGCCACCACGGGAGGCCCTGATTTCTCTTCCTTAAAGAGACACACGCCCTACACTTACAATGGCTTAGTACAATCCCTCTACTTTACGCTGTTCATCATTTTGATCCCATATGCCAAACTCAAAGTCATTGGCCCTAACTTGCAAGAGAAAGAAGCTATTGTGGTTGATGGAGCAAAGCACATGGGTGCTGACACACAAAGCCCCTCTGTGACTTCAAGAGGCAACCCCCCCCCCATTCACTCAGCACGAGAAAAAGGGCACACACTGTGCTCAACCTCTGTTCAACCCTCCCGAATTTGTAAACAACTGAAACACAACACAAACAAGTTGTGGTTTTTTTTTCAGCTTGCGGATGTTAACTCAATAAAATGTTTGTTAATTAACTTCACAAGCCTTTTTTTTTAAAATAATATTTATTTATTTATGCATCCAAGAGCTGGGGTACAGGCCAGAGATGCGGGGGGTGAGAGGATACACCAAAGATAGAGCAGGAACAGAACAGGAAGAGTGAGCAAAATACACTGCTGAGGGGAGCAGCGGGCGAGACAGGAGAGGTCTGCTGCACCATGTGGGTTGCTCCCTGGCTGGCCGGGGATTGAACTTGGGCTGCAGAGGCTTCAGATTGCTTCATAGTGCGGTGCTTAACCCTTGTGCCACCAGGGATGCCCAACTTCACAAGCCTTTTAACTTTTTAACCCCAGATTATCTCTGCATGTGAATGGACTCCAGGGCTGGCGTGAATTGGATGGTTTCTCTGATAGAGCAAGTGGATCTCTAAGTATGTGGCCACAGTCAGGATGGGCCAGCTTGTGGTGTGATAACAAACAGCACCCAGCTCTTCATGGCATGACAGAAGTTTGCTCTGTGCTCATGCTCAGTGTGATTACTCCAGGTCCCCATCTGAAGAAGGGTCCGTCTTGACACCGCTTCCGCACTCCACTCACTGGTGGAAAGCCCTCTGCAGGGCCTCCCACAGAAATGAAAGCTCCATCCCAGAGGGGGCGGCTGTCACTTCCCATTGGTCGAAATGGTCGTGTGGGTCCCAGGCACCAGCAGGGCCAGAAAGTGAGTGCTCCCTGTGCTCCCAGGAGCAGAGGGCAGCCGTACAGGCCTCCTCAACACCCCCCATGAAGGAACCCAGCCTCACCCTCAGGAGAAAGCCTCCTTGAGCACAGCCTAGTGCCAAATCCACTGGTCAAACACCTACGTGCCAATTACGAGCCAGGCCCTGGATGGCCCTGAAGGTAGATCAGTAAGGATTTAGAAAGCCAAAGTCTTTGGAATCGTTCACCTGACTTTATGGTGTATGAGTTATAGCTCAATAAAAACAAACAAAAAAAATTAAATTAAAAACCACATCTTACCTATTCCTCCATGGAGGAAATGACATGGAGGTGGCAGCCCTGTCCAGGGAGCAAAGCTGTACGGGCCTAAACCCTGCGAAGCCCAGGTCAGTGGGCCCCACAGACTCCTGGGCTCCCCCGGCCCGAATGAGAGTATTGCCAAGTTCACATCTGAAAACAGAAAACAGAAATAAATCCCCAAACCAAAACAAATGTCAAGCCTGCAGTTCCAACCCCTCGCACTGGGTCAGCAGCTCCAGCCCAGGGTCTGGGGAGCAGCTGGGCTGGGCCCTGTGTGTGTGTGTGGAGGCGGGGGTGGGGGGGGGCAAACACAGCTTCTGAAAACTGCTGGCAGGGACCTATCTCTCCAAATACTAGTAGCACTCTCTCCCCATCCCCGCAATGACAATCAAAAATATCTCCAGTGTCAAATATCCCTGGGGACAAAACCTCCTGGGTGAGACTCTGTTCTAACAAAACTTTCAAGTGTGCTGTGGGTGCCACTTGGTTATGCTTTGGAGGAACAAACCCTGCAGTGGGAACCGAGGACCTGAGTTTGAACCCCGCTGCTCTTCTATCACACGCTGCCTCCCTCTTTGGACCTCAGTTTCCCTCATAAAATGAGACGACTCAGTAGGAATCATTCTAAAGTCTGTCTGGAGCTTGTAAGGCTGTAGGGTTTGGGTTCTGGAAATTTTCATTCTCAAACTGACGCAGGTAGACCTTGCCAGCTCCCCAAAACAATAGTGGAGCATGGGGTCCAGCTGTGAGGAAGGATAATCCAGAGGAGGGGTGGGGTGAGGGGACCACAAAGCTGGTGCAGAGCCCCAGCTTCCAGTGGGGCAGCTGGGGAAGAGGAGGGTGGGGAAGCACCGGCAGCCAGCAGAGCTCAGGAATGCCCCAGAAGGTGCCTCTTGAGCTGACCCGTTGCCTCCCCACTAAAAATCTACCTGTGACCTAAGACATCAGAAGAGACAGACCAGGGCCTGGTAAATGGGCTTTGGAGGAATATTTTTTAAATAAATGGCAAGCAGCATGCACATAAGAGCAATGCGCCAGAAATGTGAGTCAGTGTGTGTGTGTGTGTGTGCGTGTGTCTGTGTGTGTGTGAGAGAGAGAGAGAGAGAGAGAGAGCGAGAGAGACTTGATATTGCTCTGTATCCTTGCTATTGACAACAGAAATTGAACAGCTCCAATTCAGCTTGAATCTGTCAATGTGATTTTTCTCTTTTTAATCCTTCTCCCAGGATGATAGGTTTGCTGGTCTCTTACTGGCCTCTTGACTCTTGCTCAACTGTAATCAAAAGATACAGACAAGAGTTGGAAAGGAGAGACGCCCTAGTTCCTCACCATGCACATTTCCTCCTGGTCCATCTCAAAATCTAATAAAGCTTGACAGTGAAATTGAAAGGGAGTGAGAGGTATTTAATAAAAGGCCATCTAAACAATGACTCAGGACTTTGGAAAGCTGGAAGAAACAGGCTAAACAGCTTTTGCCATTCAACCCCCTCTCCCCAGAAAAAAGAGCCTAATGTATATCTTTTATAGTCTTAAGTTTGGGGGGAGGTTTCAGCCACATTAACATTTTTCTGGATGGTTCATAAACTGAGTTTCCAGGCTAAGCTGTATTCCACAGCCAACATCAGAAATATTTTGCACAGTTGTTCTTTTATTCATCCAGGCTGTTTGTGAAGCTTCTGAGTATCAGTACTGTGTTGTGGGCCAAGGGTACAAAGGTGAATAAAATTCAGTCCAGGCTTTCCAGAGCTTTGCACTGGGCCAGGTAAAGACACGTAGGGACATGATCCACAACTCAGGTGCTAAGTGGGACACTGGACAACACCTGGCCCTGAACTGAGGTTCAGGTAAGGTCTTCTGAGAAGGGGCTAATAGAGCTAAGTCTTGAAGAAGGTATGACCTGTTGAGGCAGAAATGAGAGAATGATCCAGGCTTGTGAAAGGCATAAAAACAAGAGAGGGTTTGGCGAGTCGCTGAACTCTACGATACATAATGTATTGCTAGTAGCATTTGGAGAGGCGCTAGTGAGGAATAAGACCAAGCTGGCCCACCCACATCTGCTATGCCAAGGACTTCTGCCCTAAGTCTCTGTCCTCCATCACCAAAAGGGGTTCCCATTATTCACATCCCCACTATTCACAGAACTTACATGCTATGAAGTCGCCGTGAACACTGAGCTAGTGAACACTGAACCACTGCTCATTGGGGAAATGAAGGCTCAGATTCCTGCAAGCCTCTGGATGGCATTTTCGCCCCCTGGACAAATAAACTTATTTTAGCTTCTCTTCCCCCTGCCCCTCCTTTCTCTCATGACCCTCCTCTTAACAGCAGAAGCACACCTGCTGGGGGAAGTCCTCTTGCACCCAGCGAAACTCCCTTGAATCTGCTCATCTGGTTAATCACCTGAGACTTCACCAAAGCCACCATCACAGCTATTGTCCAACAGCCCTCACTGGGCATAACCTAGTAAATAATAGGGCTGTGAATCCTATGCACACATCCCATACATCTAGACTTTCTCTCACCCAGACTTTCCAGAGATTTTGATTCTCTCCATTTTGATTTCTCCTGGGAGACAGGAGAAAGGCATGAGTGAGCGCAAAACTATCTCTGAACTTCAGACCTAAGACCTGGAACTTGGCTCTGGCTGCCCAAGTCCTTCCAAGGCCAGCCCGTCAGAGGCCAACTTGCAGTTCATTCCCTCTCGGGGAAGTCAGATGCTCAGCCAGCAGAATGGTCCCCACTTGCAGCAAAGCAAAGTACCTGGAACCCCCAGAATGGTCCCCACTTGCAGCAAAGCAAAGAGACTGGAACCCCCTCCCCACCGGGCTTCTCTATTTTGTCAGCTGTTGGCATCCACATGGTCTGTATGCGTTTGTGAAGGAGCATCAGGAAATCGGGGTGTCTGGGGCCTACCAGCTGCTGACAGACAGACGTGCAAGGGCTTTGCCAGCGATGTGTTAGCAGAACAGCCTGGGCAGCCTGGCTCATCCACGTTTTCTGGGAAGGGACAATAAATAAACTCCTTGAACAGCTAAATCCTAGGGGCCCTTCCAGGGTTATTGTTAATCTGAAATGCTAGACATGGGACTCATAGGTTTTATTTAATATCATAAAATACAGTCTGGTAGATGGGGGAAGGAGGAGGGACAGAACCCACACCCCAGGGCTCGACCTCCTTGCTGACCCCCTAACTTCATCAGGGACTTTCCTTTATCATGAAAGATAAAGGAATTAAATGTCTCAAGAATGTACACTACAAGCTACCTACATGGTATCTAATGTCAAATCTCTTTGCATTTCCCCAATTGTTAATCTTCAAAATTTTAAGTTTGTAGAGTAGTTTTAGGGTCACAGTACAGTAAAACTGAGTGGAAAGTGGGCATCCCTTGGTGGTGCAAGGGGTTAAGATGCAACCTATGAAGCTGTCCACAGTCTCTGCAGCTCCAGTTCGATCCCCGGGCAGGGAGCTACCCACATGGCACAGCAGACCTCTCCTGACTCGCCCGCTGCTCCCCTCAGCAGTATATTTCACTCAGTCTGCCTGTTCTGCTCCCCACTCTGTCTCTGGTGAATCTTCTCACCCCCCACACCTCTGGCCTGTATCCCAGTTCTTATATGAATAAATAAATAAATCTTTAAAAAAAAACTGAGTGGAAAATGCAGAGAGTTCCCATATAACCCCTGCCCAACCCCCATGCCCCCACACAAACCTCATCCACTGTCACCATCAGGCATCAGAACAGAATCTTTATATAAGCCATGAACCTGCAGTGACCCCCTCATTGTCACCCACGGGCCACAGCTGACACAGGGGTTCACTCTTGGTGTTGTATAGTCCATGTTTAATTGACACATGCTTAACGGCATGTCTCCACCACGACAGTGTCCTACAGGATAGTTTCCCTGCCCTAAAGGCCCTCTGTGCACCCCCTCTTCCCCCAGGCACCTGACCGTGGGCTATCTCCACAGCTTTACCTTTTCCAGAATGCCATTCAGCTGGAATTATAGAGCAGATGGTCTTTTTTCAGATGGGCTACCCACAAAAAGTGGTGTATTAATTGATCAGTATCAATTAATTGATACTGATCAATTAATACGCCACCTGCAAGTCATTGTGCTGAGATCAAATTAGACGTCTTGGTCATCACTGAGTCCCCCACACAGAAGAGGCACCTGCATGTTGAAAAGATGAATGGATGGGCCTCCCCTGGTGGCGCAGCAGTTAGGCACTGGGTTGCGAGGCTGCCCGCAGCCTCTGCAGCGCCAGTTCGATCCCTGGCCACTGGCGAGGGTCCCACCAAAAAAAAGAGAAAAGATGAATGGATGAACAACCCAATTCTCCAGTTTAAAAAAAAACAAAAAAACAGAGTAAAACATAAAGTCAATACAAGTGCCAGACCTTAGGTCATGAGATTTGACTGAGATATTAATAATTTGGAAATTTTTTGAGTTCTGATCTCTTCCACACAGTGGAATTTTCCAGCTGATGGCAATGCTTAGGGTAAGGGATTTCTACTCAGCTTTTTCAAGCTTTTGTGCTTAGGGGTCCCCTCTGAGCTCTCCCCAAGTAACCTGACACACCCCCAGACAGGGATACCTAGAGGTCTGGGCAAAGCCAAGTATAAGGAGAGAATGACTTCATAGACGCGTTATGCCACGTCCCTATTTCTGGCCCCAGGATCATCCTGGCTTTCTGGACAACAGAGTTACCCTGCTGAGTCATGTGCAACCTAAACCCTCATCTGCAGTCTGCCCTGCTTGCCAGAACCCAGGAAACCTAGACAAGGTACCGCAGACCTGGGTAGAGCAGTGGAGAGAAGGTGGTAGGTGACAGGCATTCGAAAAGTAGAAGGACAGAAAGAACTTGAGCCTAAATGATAATTAGTGAGCACCAGAGAAATCAAGACAAGCGTCTGCCTCATTTTACATAATGATATAAATGTTATCAGTTTGCATGGAAATCAACTCATATTTCAACTGCCACAGAGGAACTGACATTTAAGGGGATCTGGTGATGGCTCCTTCTGTATGGTGAAGCATTAGCCTGTAATGTTAATATTCACTTTCACATTTAGCTGTGTAATGTTGATATTTCCCAGGGATGACTTTTGAGAGAGGACAGTCGGTGTCTTGTGAAAGCGCCATGCCTA